CCTCTGCAACTCTGTCTTGCCAGACCTCAAGAATATGGTCCCAGCGTTTTGGCCTTGACTGTTATGATTCCCTAGGACTGGATGGGCTCTACTGGATGAGCATGCCTGCTCTCATCTCTGAGCTCCAAGTTGGTTGTCTGCCCACTCTCTGCTCAGGCTCCATAAGAATGGTTTGTTGAGAGATGCTACCATCCTCCGTCCTGGGAAATGGGATGGCTTTTGGCAGCCTTGCTTGACAAACTGTGTTCTTGAGGCCAGGGTTGGGAGATTGTCCCTTACAGACCTAAGGGGAAGATTTTCAGGGTGTTGCAGTGAAACTGGACAGTCGGGGGTGCCTGGCTGAGGTGCAATGGGAACCTAATAACCAAGGCTGAGGGATGGGCCTGAGTGGGGGAAAGTGGTGGAACCGGTTGTAACCTGATCCTTTCCAGCTGGGGAGGCTGCTCCTCATTGTCTCCGTCTGGGAACTGGGGCCTGGGACTCCGGAGAGTGCACCTCAGAGAGTCTCTCCAGACCGGCGGCCGGGCGCTCGGCCTGGTGCTTGGCCGGCAGCCTGGCACCAGCACCGCCAGGGCGGGGCATCCGTGTCAGTGGAGCATGTGGCAGAGTCCGTCAACAAAGGCGGCGGCTGGCAGGCTCGTGCTGAAGGAGCCCTCGTGCCACGGGCTGTAGGCTGCCCTGCTCTGCAGCCCTGTCTGGGCGGCCCCCAGGCACTTAACCCTTCCTCTCTGGGCTGGCTTTCTGGAGGGCTGCCAAAGCAGGGAGTGGAACCTGAGGCTGATCTATGCTAGTGCAACTGCCACCGAAGCAGAGGCGCGTCACCTGGAAATGAACACATTCCCTACTTCTGGGACAGTGTCCCTGGCCTGCAGGATGTGTGTGTGTGTGTGTGTGTGTGTGTGTGTGTGTCTGTATCTGTCTGTCCATTTGTCTGGAAATCAGGAAAATAAATAATACCACAATTGGGCAAGATCCTAAGGTTAGATGGGTCACTTCAGGTGACCTGAGGAGAGCTATTGGGAGTAGTAGGTTTGACTCAAGGACCAAACCATTGCCAGCACCAGAGGGGACAGAATTTGACTTTGGGTCTCCTGAGAACAGTCCATCAAGAGTTAGATATGGTTAGTGCCCTCTGCCAAGGAGTTCTGAGGGAAATTTGAGTCTAGAACTGGTCCTGCTAGGCTCACCTATTCCCTTAGTAATCAGGAGGGAGGGTGGCCCTATGCTTAGATAATAAGGCAGCTTGGCCTCCTCTTCTGGCCCCAGACTCCAGTTTCTAGTCCGTCCTTTGATTTTTCTATGGAAACTTGGCTTAGAGTTTCCCCTTCAGTCCATGTGTGGACTCACTCTGATTCTTGATTTCTTTCTCTTGGCTTCCTTCCTGCCCATTCACTCTACCCTGTACAGGCCTGCGGCTCAGTCCAGCTCACAGCTTCCAGTCCTGGTGCTAGAGCTGTTGGAGGACACAGTGGCTGTGGGTCTCCTACACTCATCTATAGTACCGGTTGGAAGGCAGCTTTTTAAAATTTCCAACAGACCTGGTCTCTTTCAATAGGTGTTTCCCAGAATATTCCCTCCTCCGGTGAGCTCCTGTAGCCTTGGGAGCAGGCTAGGAGGATAGGACTAGACCACAGCCCAGGGCCCTTTCTTCCTGACTCAGTCCTGAACAGGAGGAGGCAGCCCTATCCCACGGTCTGCCCCTGCTCTGTGCTGCTTGGCATCATTTCCCCCAGCCCAGGGATGCCTCTTTAATATATATATGAAATTGATTTCAGAGAGAGGAAGGGAGAGGGAGAGAGAGATAGGAACTTCAATGATGAGAGAGTCATTGATCAGCTGCCTCCTGCACGCCCCCTGCTGGAGATGGAGCCCACAATGCAGGCATGTACCCCCACTGGGAATTGGACCTCAATCTCCTGGATCATAGCTCGATGCTCAACCACTGAGCCACGCCAGCTGTGCCAAGGCTGCCTCTTTGAGGTCCTGATTCAGCCCTAGACAGGATGCTATCCTCTCTGTCAGAGCCATCCCAGCCCAATAGGAGGAAGGGTAGAGCAGGAGAACTAACTGTAAAAGAGTCTTCCCTACTCTGCACCTCACCCCGTATGGGCTCCTGAGTTCCTTGTGCCCCTCATCCACCTGCCAGCGACTTACTTTTATCTTGCAGTGTCAAGAGGCTTGCCAGTGAAGCCTTTCTAGTCCAGAGCTGGTTTTCCCAAACTTTCCATTACAAAGAACCAGGCTTTTTGTCTGTGGAGTCCTCTGGCTTTATACTCCCTCCTCCCCACCAACCTTGCTCACAGACCTTCACCAGGAGCTCATCCTGGGGGAAGGGCTAGGATAATTGCACACATAGAATCTTTTGGCAGCTAGTTTTAAGAAGTGAGTCATATTCTGAACTTGATTATTACATAACTACAGTCTAATATTTTATATCTGAAAAGTACTGTTAACACTCCTACATTCTTGTCCTTTATCTTCTTTCCCTTTTCCCTTCCCTCATCTTTACAGGCAGGGAGACTGAGGCCCTAGGAAGGAAGTGGTTTAGGATTAAATCTTTGGGTTTTGAGTATAAAGTCAGAAAGCCCAGCTTTAAATACCAGTTTTGCCACCTGCTAGCCATCGGGAAGTCAGTTGACCTTGCCAAACCTATTTCCTCTTCTGTAAATTTGAGGTAATACCACAGAATTTTACTTGAAAGCTAAGTGAGATAATACCTGTGAAAATTCCGGGCACATCAGTAGGTATTCTTTAATTCTTGTTTCTTTTTGTCTCTCTGTAATCCTGATCAGCCCTCAACATTTCCCACCCCACCCATCATCCTGCTTCCTGAGCTCCCCTCTACCTACCCTGTCCAGAGAAATCACTATCCAAGCTGTTTAGCTGTGGGCTTTGGCCTTGTACATTCTCCTCTGAGAATGATGGCCATTCCCCGTCATTGTAGGCTGAGTTTAGAGAGCCACAAAAGACAATCCAAGAGGTCGTAGGAAGTTGAAAGGGCCTGGTCATCTTCTTTCTCCTTGGATCTGGGATGGCGTCCCAAAGTCAGAAAGTAGCCATAAATCCCTGCGTCCTATAGGGAGTGTGAGCTCTGACTTTTGTCCCTGGTTCAAACCTCAGTTATTCTTTTTCTGTATCAGGGGAAACCTTCTCCCTAGGAGATGTGGAGCCAAGGGAGGGGGTATGATGATGGGTAGTGCGGTATAGGATGGCATTGTGGCAAACTGAGTGCATCACGTGACCGCAGATTGAAAAGGTTGCAGATTCTCCCGGTGTCCGTTTATGCTGGCCATATTTCCCAAAGAGCATGCAGATCTAGCTCAGTTACTCAAGTTATCAGTTCAGGGTGGCTCCTCTGGACCAACCAGTAAGGAATTGGACGCAGATCAATGTCAGCGAGGTGCTTTTTGGGTCTCCAAAGCAACAAGAGAGTTGGAGGCAGAGCAAGTGGAGGTAAAAGCCTTTTCAAACCTGGTCACATACTCTACTTTCCCTTGGCTGGGTCTGGAGTAGAAGGTTCCCCTCTTTGCTCCTCTGTGAGCTGCCTGGCTGCAGCAGGTGACCTCTCATGGTCTGTTTACTGTGGCCTAACTTGATTCAGGCTCTGTGAGGGTGCCCTGGTATTTCCATGTCCTTTCAGCTCCTGCAGGGCAGAGGAGGTGCAGGTTTGCTTCCTCACTGAGCTCATGGCTGCTCTAATCAGAAGGGGTGAGTCACAGCTTCTTCCTATTCCTCCTGTTGTGGTCTCCTCCCCCATGGGCCAAAGAATGGGCAGTAGTAGCTGGTGACCCCTCCCCATGAGAAAGTCTCCTGTCCCAATGGCACCATCTTTAAATCTGTGGCGGTATTTTTGTGTAATGTTATGAAGCCAAGAATACTCAAAAAAGTAGCTACTGTAGACTGTTGAGTAAAGCTAAAGGAAGGTTGGAATTTTTCATGTTGGAAATGGCTTTTTCACTTGGACAAGGAGTAGTTCCATTCAGAACAAGCAGATTTGGAAATTTCCTGAATAGTAATTAGACTTTCTGGAAAATGAAATCTGAGAAAAATTTCAGCCACTCAGTTGAAACCCTCTTTAGCTGTAGTATCACAGAAAGGATCCTGGACTTTGAGGCAGATCCTGGTTCAAATCTCATCTCTGCCACCTATGAGTACTCTGTTCATAGGCAAATCATTTATCTTTTCTGAACCTTGGTTTCTGATACTTAACCTTGCAGAGTTGATGTGAAAGCCCTTTGGAAATTGTAAGACACATAGCTATTAAGGAATGGACAGTTTAACACTTTTGGAAACGTGTTAAAAGATGATTTTAGGATTTCGCTTGGACCTGCCTTTATAGTTCTTGGGGAGCTCTTGGGCAGTTGTACCCAGGGTGGTGTTTACATAGTTTATTAACTAGCAGCTTCTCTGCCAGCAGCCTGGATGCTTTGTTCAGGGAGCCCCTGACTGCTTCCTGACCCTTTGGGATGCTCTCCCTGTTAGTGAGTGGTTTTCAGGAACTCACACTGTAGCTAGTGAGGTTGTTCAGGCTTTAGATGGGGCAGCCCTGGGCAGGAGCCCCGGAGACTTG